AATGTGGAACCACCTCCCATGGAGGTGCTCATGGAGTCATTTCTTAAGCATCTGAAACATGAATTTATGGTAGCAAAAGTAGGTCTTTCATGGGGACATCAAGAGAATCATATAACCTCTAGTCCTTCAACTAAAGAGGAAGATTTCATATAAATCTGTAGCAGTTACCTATTGAGGAATCCAAAGGCCTCTATTTTAATCAAAATTTATTTCGATCTTATCTGCATTGCAGATGAGAACTGTAAAGTCAACTACAATAAAAGTATGACTTCTCTATTTGCTTGTCTGTCCTCCTTTTGCATGGAACCTTTCACAGAAATCAAGGGAAAAAAATGCAAAGAATATCTTCCAAACACATGATATCATAATTCAAATATTATATCTATATGTAGCATTCATTTCTCAGAAAACCAAAGAGACTTTGCTATGAAACCTGCCTTAAGCCAAGCTGACAAGCCTTGTTTGGGTCAGAAAGTGTATTCCAAGGTTTCTGACCTCTGAGAAACCTCTTAACACACACACACACACACACACTACCACATGAAAAAGTAATCTTTACTAACATTCATTCATTCATTCATTTCTGAGAAAAACAATGCATGTTAGAATGCCCTGTTTAGGTCAAAAGTGCATGCCAAACCTCCAGTGACATGATTCACTGGTGTCATTGGACTCACTACATTCACATAGCCTTTCCACCTAAACAGTGACATCTCTTTCTTCTTTCTAGTGCTGACTGAGAATTAAGTGTGAGATTGGATGCAGAGCAAGAGGATTAGCTGCTGGTACATGTGTTGATCACTGAGTGACCCACAGGTGGATAGTGATCTCAGGACAAAATGGCATCCCTGCTTCATAAGATACCTGCTGCTTGCAGTGGTCCCTTTTCTTCTTTCCTTGAAGGAAGCAATGCAGATCCACCCAAATTCTCAATTCTCTATCCCAGCAATGGAGAAAATGAAGTTACTTGGCCTTGGAAAACTGCAGAATCATCAAGCATGGCAAGAGGGCAAAACTTTGCCAGTGTATGTGGGGCTCAGGTGCTGTTTAGCTGTAGAACTTCCAGGGGACAAGTATCAGATGATAGCTGGATGCCATCTCTACAAAAATATGTGTTTGTTTTATATTGACTCAATATTCATGGTTCCATATCTCAACCATAAATCAAACAAAAAAATTCTTTATATATATATATATATATATATATATATATACCTAACACAAAGCTAAAAAAACTGATTACATATTTTCCATGTATCCAAAAGCATCATAAAAATCATAATAATTTATTACACGAGACTCTCGTCAATACTAAATTTTTTTTAGTAGCATCAGTTGGTCCACAGAAGGGAATAGTTATGATTGATTGTTGTCCAGTCCTCATACTTTTTTTTCTTTCTTTTTTTTTGGGTTCAGCAGTCTTCTCTTTACAGCCTGCTTCATTGATTACTGGAATCAGCAGTTGATTGCATTGCCCACCTTGGGGATGCATCTGATGATGAGTGCTGGCACATTTGGTGTCACTCATTGATGATGATCTGCAACTCAATTATGAGCCAGTAGCTGAAACATGAGTCCTTCAAGCTGGACCGGACTGGGCTCCAAGACACAGCAGCTGAAACCTCTGCAGCATATCTGATTGCTAAAGTAGACAAAATGTGTTCAAGAACAACATTCAAAGAAAAATAGTGATTACGTTAAAAGAACATAATACTCCATGTTATTGCTACATTGGAAATAAAATAGAAAATAAATTGATTTATTAGAATTTAATAAGCATGTGTTAATGCTTGATAAGTTAACCACAGTTGACAATGATGATCAACAAAAACCAATAGTTCATAAACCCAAATAGTGAAACACAGAGAGAAGTCCTGTAAATATTTTCCTGGAAAAAGGTTTTACAAGAACCGTAAATCGAACTGAACTAATTAGTCCGATTAG